TGTCCGTAGGTGTGAATGTGAGTGTGCTTGGTTGTCTGTCTCTAAGTGTAGCCCTGTGATAGACTGGTGACCTGTCCAGGTGAACCTGCCTTCACCCTATGTCGGCTGGGATAGGCTCCAGCCCCCCATGACCCTAATGAGGACTAAGCGGTGTATAGAAAATGGATGGAATTAAAATGATTCAATATTTTGGGCCGCCGCTGTAGCTCACCTGGTTGAGCTGGCGACCCATGTACAGGGTCTGCAGTCCCCGATGCAGCGGCCATGGGTTCGAATCCCGTTCATGGCCCTTTGCTGCAGGTCCTTTCCCCATTCTTCTCCCCCACTTTCCTGTCTCTCTCTTCACCGTCCTATAAAATAAAGGCAAAAAGGGCAAAAAAAGTCACTTAAAAAAAAATAAAAAAATAAAAAAATTCAATATTTTATTGATTAGCTGATTGACAAGAGCATTTAGCAGCATCTTTAAACATTATTTATTAAATTAAACTCTTTCTAAAGCAAATAGCAGTCCAGTCTGTTTCAGCCAATGAAAATCAAGTCACAATGTCCACTTGGAGCAACAGATCAATGCTTTTAAAGGCTTTACAGTATTTATACAAACAGAAATTTTACAGCTCTGGGAAATGATCTTAGCTACAGCTATTTTGTCTTGTGGTAGCTTGTGTGTTGAAATTGGGTTCTATTTGGCTTCATCCAAATGAGTTAGAAGATTGTTTCTTCACTCAAGGATTCAAGGATTCAAGGTCTTTTACTGGTCACAGACACAGTTATACATGGTATAGTGTGCAGTGAAATGCGTTGTGCACCTGTTCTACACTGAAACAATAATAATAAGATTAAAAAAACACACAAGAAATTAAAAAAAATAGATATATAAAAATATAGAAAGAGAGGGATCCAAAGTTGGTTTCAGATCTTTCCATGAGAGCCTCCTTAACTCCAGCGAGCTACTTTTGTATATAAATGTCTAATTCTAAATAAAGAGTTATGTTTAAGCAAGTTACCATCAGCTCTGTGTGCACTTTTTATGACCACCGACCTCCACTTCAGTATGATTGCAGCGAAACACGTCAATCTGTCTGCATCCGCCCGACACAATCTGCACAAATGTGTGTTTGCGCTCGGCTCATTGGTTGTGTCCTGTCGAGTCATTATTAGTGTTTGACAAATATTCGCACAAGAACTGATGACAAACCACATTAAGAGCTGCATTGACTGAACAAACGGGGGACGTCCTCATAAAGCATAACAATAACGCTGCACTTTTCATAAACGCTGCACAAGTGTTAATTGGCTTAACGAATTTACCAATTAATGAGTTATCTCTGTTTACGTGCCACGTGTCACAGCGTAGCTCTCTATTAAGACACATCAAACACACACTTCAGCAGGAAGTGTAGCCAGAGTAACAGGACTTTGTTTTATGAGGCCATCATTGATCATTTATACAGATTAATGTCCCACATCGTGCTTTAAAAATAAAATACGTTGAACTTATCCTGCCATTGAATTATTTTCTTATTATTATTATATCAATAGAGAGGAAAAGGGAGAAAAAAAAAATGCTATCCAAATTGAAGCAAGAGCCAGACAATGAAAGTGTATATTAAAAAAAATAATAAGCAAGATCTTGTGATTGTTTTTTACAAAAGTAAGCATTGGTTTGCATTTTAATAGCTATTTACAGACTTTGTGGACTCTTATAAACTACATTTTTACAATTGATTAGGGAAAGTAATTCAAGCATGCAATAATTAAGAGCCGTGTACATGATTAAACAGTGGGATCAGGATGTTCCAGAGGCCTCGAAATTTAAAGATTTAACTGAATCCATGTGATATGAGCGTGGAATTTGTCTTCTAGAAGTGCAAACGGAATGTTTTTAGATTTGGGACAAAACAATTTGAAGACTTCACTTTTTTATTTTCTAACATTTTATAGACAAGATCAGTTAATCGGCTTATAATCTACAAATTAGTTAATTATGAAAACAATAATTCCAGCCCTATAAATGTATTTTTGTTCAGCATTTGCGGTAAAGAATATATCAAACTAAGATAATGATAGCTTCTGTTGTGCTGTCTGTATGTATCTGTGGGGTGTTCATTCACAAGTAGCAGCCCTGTCCGTCCTTGTCTGATCTCATTCAGGGTTTCTAAATATTTCTGTGCCTGCAGGAAGGAGCGGGAATATTCAGAAACCCTGAACTAATGGCTGTCACATCAGTTTGGTCTCAGAGGCAGTTTGGAAGAAATGGTCAATCAGCCTCTTTTCCAGTGGTGACGTTCTAATCTTGTCTTTACGGTCAGACAGTGTATTGGGCAGTCTTAGCATTCCCGTGATTTATTGTCTGCCAGGTTTGAAATGAGATATGGTGGCTGCTCCTTTGGGAAATTGGAGAGATTTCAGTGGTGCAATAATTGGATCAATTGTCTGCGGTTCCAGCGTCAATCTGTGTAACAAACCTGAGTTTTTACAAAAGCTTCACACTTCTACAGGACAATTTTGAGTTATTTCAGCCACAGCCGGCCATTTTCTCTGGAATTAGCTCCACTGACAGACGTGCAGTTAAGTCACATGCAGTTCGTAATTGGTCCTCTTTTCTGCTGCCCCCTGCCCTTTTCCTGCTTCCTCCCACTGCTGTTTCCTGATTGTTTTCCTCAGGCGAGCCACTCAGTCGGTTGCACAGTGGTTATTTTTTTCAACCACACTTTCATCAGTTGGGACGTAAAATGCCACAGCGGCAAGGAGATCAAAGTGCGCCGATGAAGCTCGCTATAAAAAAACATCAAATTAACTTCTTCGCACATCTAAAGGTGTGCGTGTTTACAAGTAGAGAGGCAGGAGAAGCACACTTATTTTCTGGCATTTTTTTTTCTTTTGGATTGTCACAGCTAAGAATGAAGAGAGCTTTAACAAGACAGGCCATGACAAATTACACCCATGTTTTAGTTTCTTATTATGCCTGTGAGTTTTCTTTTTTGGTAACTAGATTGTCATACCTGCACTTTAAAAACTTTAGCCACTGAAAACGTTTTATCTCTTTGATTTGTAATTAGACGTACAGGATGTAAATTTCCTTGATATGACACATCACTATTCCAAATCTTTTTTCTTTTTTTAAAAATCTATTTAAGGTTTTCCATGTGCAGAGGTAGAAGAAGAAGTACATCTTCTCTGAAAGCCTGTATTTAGTCACGTCCTTATTGATTTCTCTGTGTTTTCCAGATCCAGGGGCTCGAGTGGATGGTGTCTCTGTACAACAACAATCTAAACGGCATCCTGGCTGATGAAATGGGCCTCGGCAAAACCATCCAAACCATCGCTCTTATCACCTACCTGATGGAGCACAAGAGGCTGAATGGCCCCTATCTCATCATCGTCCCTCTCTCGTCAGTACTCCTCACCCGGCACCGATCACACCTCTAATCTCACAGTGTCATAACACCCAGAAATATATTTGGCGTGGGACAAATGGGCTCAAACTTACAGCTAGTTCAGTGCCCGATTGGTTTTAGCCAGAATTTATGTCGTCTAGGGCGGCCAAATTGGTTGAACAAGCCTCTCGCAATATAATCTGAGAGAGGCGGTGCAAACATGTAGGGACCATCAGTATAAAAATAACTGGAAAATATACCCAAGTACTGACTCTTCAGTAAGATTATTCTCTTTGTTGTGGCCCCTGAACCCATAACTCATGAGATACCACAAAGTGCTGCAGTTCAAGGCAAGTTTAATCATACAATGTCAAGAAAATATTTTTAAAAAACACCAAAGAAACGGAAGACAGACGGAGCCACAGTAAAATAGGCAAAATAGGGAAATGATTGGTCGTAGTTTTTAGGCCTCTATCTTAAACTAAAGCCGATCAAATAAATTATGAACACAAAACCAAAAACAGGACTTGCATCCCAACTGAACAGATAATAAACAAAACTAAATCTGAGGTTAGTGCTGGCAGAGAAAAGAATAATTTGTGGACTTTATATGCATGAAGGTCACCTTTCTTTGCCAACTGGTGCTGAATATGAGGGAAGTGAGAGCAAAAGGTAAATAATAATATTAATAAAAACAAGAAAAATGCACCAACGTAGAGACGGGTCTCATAGCCTTGCAGCATAAATGCTAAAAAGAAACCACAACGCAACAATATTCACGAAGAAAAAACAATATCTGATGTTGTAGATACCTGATGATGATGTCGCTGTAGGTGCTGCTGAGTTAAAATTACTTCATTTAAAACTTCTCCCACGCAGTTGTGACTAATTAAACTAAAGCTATGTGAAGATGCCGTGGGAATTTCTCCAATCATTCGTTCCACTTCACTAAACGTGTGATTATCGTCGCTGTTTTAAATCCCCTCGGATTCATCAAACACCTTCACCTCAGACTTCATTTGCGAATAACAATCAACCTTGTCTCTAAGGGTGCCGTTGTTCGGTGGCTCAAATTCAAACCCTCTCCTCACGATAATAACAAAGTAAGTGGGTTAATGCTCCTGGATTCCTTACAACTTCTCTAAATGTGGCCGGTGAAAGCGCACTCGTTTTGTGGATTTAGAGTTTAGGAAAAACTCGTGTCTTGTCCACATTTCACCTAATTGGTATTCCTTTTTAGCAACGATTTGTAACTGCAGGTGTAAAATGATTAGAATGAACAGTGGTGTTGTTTTTGGCACTAAGCTTTTTTTTTTTTTTTTACCAAGGCGAACACTTCTTTTTAAATTCACACAGAGCGCAGCAGAGGATTAAATCTGAGCTCAAGGCCACATTGCTAATGTTCTTTTTTTTTTTTTTTTTCGGTATGCACAGAGAACAAATTTGGAGAAAAGACTAAAAGTCGCCCTTTTTTACTGTTGTGATCTGCCCTGAGGGGGTCCTGTTTTTAACAAAGCCTCCTTTTGTGAGCTGCAATCCATTTCTTCTCCTTTGGAAAGCCAGTGTGCTTTATCACTGCAAGGTTATTTTTTTCCTTTAATGTTCCAGCAAATTATGTCTGAACCCTGATGAGAGAAATTTCATTGAACAGTCTGTCTCTTAATGCATGATTTTTCAAGTAGCTCTTGACTCTCCTCCTCAGGTCCTGATATGAAGTAGCTCTGAAGTAGTACTTCAACGAGTAATGGAAGCTGTAGCCTGAAAAGAGTGGTTCTTTAATTGCTGTAAAGCCAGACTACTTTCTTACATGTGATCTTCTGTGAGCGTGATGGTTATTATTGATTTTTTTGTTTCCAGGACTTTGTCTAACTGGACATACGAACTTGACAAATGGGCGCCTTCTGTGGTCAAGATTGCCTACAAGGTAAGAAAAATCTCCTCTTTCTTTCATGACTCTTCTCTTACTGATTGGTTTTGGATGACTTGCGACAGAAATCCGTCTCTTCTTTGTGTTTTCCCACATCAGGGCACCCCGGCTTTACGTCGTGGGCTTGTGCCTCAGCTCCGCAGCGGGAAGTTCAACGTCCTGCTGACCACCTACGAATACATCATCAAGGACAAGCACATTCTAGCCAAGGTGAAAGAGATCAAAGCACCGCAGCATCTTTACACAATCAAACATCCAGAAAATACGCAAAAGAAAGTTGAATTTTCTATCAACATCTGAGGTCATGTTATTTAAAAAACGCCAATCAAACCTCAAATAAACACAAACAAGCTGGAAACGGGAGCAAGATATGAGTTTTATGTTTGTTTCAGGCTTTTATTTGAGACGCGCTGCAGTCTTATTATCATTTCACACATGCTTCAGAAGCTTGAGTGGGCGTTTACGTCACATGCTTTGTAAAAAAGTTTTCTTTATTCCCATTCAAGACTTTAACGCCCACAAAAATGGATGGACGCAGATGTATGTTCAGACACACCGTAAGCCTTTGTGTGGTTTGTTTTTGCTGCAACGTGCTGAAATCTGGATCTGCTGGAGACTTACAGCATAATGTTTGAATGTTATAATGAGGGGCAACTGTACAAAGAGATATTAGCGTCATAAAAAACTAATTAAACAGCATGACCAAACTTTTCAAACGCAAAGCGATGCCTTTTCTTTGTTCCAGTTAAAACTTTAGTAGCAGCAGCAGCAGCGGCGCCCCATATGAGCTACAATTGATTTATCGACTTTTTGTGAAGACGTGGGAAGAACGCATCGCAGCGGTCGATCCTACTTGTAGTAAATGAATGCACAAGTTTCAGAGTATCTCGAGGAGAAAGAAACTGTCTGATGTATGTAATGCTCTTTTGATGATAGAATACTGCGTTGGCTGTGTTCCTTGTGTGTGTGCCTGGAAAGTAAGATCAGAATGTGTCCCGGGCTGATGGTGTATCGCAGCAGCTACAGCCTTAATGTTGCCTTCTTCGGTTAGAAGACGTCTTTGATCATCCATACGTCAGTGTCATAGTTAATATTCGATGAAAAAATATATGTGAAGCTTATACAACTCATCTTTAAGGTCAAGGGTCTCAGTTTCTGTTGTCTGTAATGTCAGTTGTGTTTGTTTGTTAGCCACAGTTTAGGAATGTTATCTATTTAGGTAGCTCCTATACCACGGAGAAGAGATGGAACAAGGGGTTTGCAGCATGAATGGATGGTTAAACAATCTGCAGGAATCTCATGACCTGTTGCATAACTGAGTCCCCCTGAAATAATCCATTACAGTGTTCAGTCAATGGCTTAAAGTGTAAACGCTGGAGAGCTGAGTCGGTCTTATCAGGTACCCAGCAGGTGGGCATAAAGACCCCTAAAGTAATTTCTGCGTGTATTAAATTGTGACTTGTTCAGCTTTAAAGTCTAGAAAACTCCCCTAAGGCACTACAGAGTAAGTGTGGATTGTATTAACCTTAAAGTTTCACCAACTCAGTTTTATAACTTCCATCCAAGCTGCAGGAAATGTAATTAATATTTGGGGACAAAGGCAAATCCCACCTCTGCAGCACACCTGACACCCAACCATTCACTGCTGACTTTGCTGAGCTCCACACTCCATTGTTATTCTTTGTGTGTGTTAATTTAGTTTTAACACATTTTATTTGACTGGAGCACATTACTTTTGTGAACTCTCAACTTGTCACATTCCTTCAGTCAGTTTGCGATAAACACCTGCGTGAAATAATTCACAGAGTACACCGAAAATGTGCTGTTTAATTTTAAAGTAGAGATCAGAGCTGTGTGCACAAACAGTGAGAAACGAGAAGGGAATAAAAAACTTCTCATTTGTATTCAGTTTAGTTTTGTACCCCGAGGGCAGTCGAAATAAAAAATCACAATCTTGTTCTCAGCAGAAACTGTTGAGCTCCTTTGTGATCAATAATATTTAAAATGCAAATATGGACATGGTGTCTAAGGGCTTTTTGCTTTTCCAAAGTGTAGAAATTTGCGTTAAATAAGTTTCTCTTTCGCTTTCAGATTCGTTGGAAGTACATGATCGTGGACGAGGGTCACCGCATGAAGAACCACCACTGTAAGCTGACCCAAGTGCTGAACACCCACTACGTGGCCCCCCGTCGCCTCCTCCTCACCGGCACGCCGCTGCAGAACAAGCTGCCCGAGTTGTGGGCGCTTCTCAACTTCCTGCTGCCCACCATCTTCAAGAGCTGCAGCACCTTCGAGCAGTGGTTCAACGCTCCGTTCGCCATGACAGGAGAGAGGGTAACTGCAAGGAGAAACTGCCTGGATTTATAAATCTGTTTTATTTTTAGGTGAACGTTGCTCTTTTATGTTAGTCAGCAAGATTTTGCAAACGCTAATAGTTAGTTTTGTAGCTGGCTTGGGTGTTTTTTTGTGTGGCTTTTGTCTAGTTGACATGAATGAGGAACACAAACAACATAGAATCAATGTCTTTAGAGTCGCAAAAACCTGCTGTCATCTGTCCAGTGTTTTGAATATATTTAGCATTTAGTTGCTGATGTTTTTGTTACAGTGGAATTTATTTTTCGGTAAATATGGAGGTTCTATACGTCTCTAAGCTCCTAAAATGTTTCTACAAATGGGTTTGCCGTTAAATCTGTTCCCAGAGGACTGTTTACCCCGTCACAGTTTTCACAGCTGTCATTTCTACTTAAAACAACGAAACACAAAGTTATGCAAATTCTGGAAGTTTAGTTCACTGATGAAAAAGTTTATTTTACAAAAGCTTATTTAAAGGCATACGAGAAGTTTGTTTTATACACTCCATAAACACTTGGGAAATGTTCTGAATATGAATTATTGTAATTTTAATTTCCCTCAGGAAGTTTTTCTGTGCCCTCAGGAAAGTTAGAGAGAAGGTCAGTTACCAAGTAGCGTACCTATTAATGATTCACAGCTTGTTTTCTGGAAAGTTTCTCCACAACTATTCGATGCACTGCCCTCTTCCGTAGAACACCACAGCAGGTAGAGTTGCCCACCTTCCGATCGTGGCATCGAGCTGGAGGTGATGAGAAAACTATAAACCCACTTCGCTGTAAATAAAACGATGAATATTAATGTTTCCAGAACACGAGTCAAGAATGAAGAATGAAGAACAAAACAAACAGCAAAACAAAAGCAGCTGCTTCAGCTAGCCGGTCACTTTACATTAGCTTTGAATCCACCATGATCGTTTGAGCTGCTTTGCAAATTAAGATCGAGCTCTCACTAAAGGTTCACTTTGAAGGAAAAATGTTAATAAAAAAAAGTTAGTTTTGATTTAAATAGCAAGTGGAACTAATCAGCAAATGTACTTTTAAAAAAAGTCATGAAAGCTGATATTAGTTAACACGCCGTCTTTGTTGTTGCCTTTTCCTTCACTTTGATCCACAGATTGATAAGTAGCAGTGCTCTGTGGAGTTTGTTGTAAACAAAACACTAGTTATGCGATAATTAACCTATTCATCCAGAAAAGGTTGTGAGCATTTTATTTGTTTGATATAACAATAGTGTGCAGCATATAGTGGTTCAGCTCTGGAGTCCTTTACACACCATTATTACAAAGTTATACTGTTGCTGCTGCGTTGGCACCTTAAAATGCTTTGTTAAACCACTGAGTCATGAGGTTTTGAGCCTTCAAATCATGGGACAGTTTGTTAGATTGGATCCAGAATGGGACGATGCTAATTAAATACAGTAGCAGAACTGTCGTTTGGCTCATTGTCAGGTCAGTGAATGTCCAGGTGTTTTTTTTTTGTTTTTTTTTTACATGCAGTGAGGCCTAAAACATGCTTAAATCATAAAAAAATTTAATTTTTTTCATTTTTTAAAGAGTGATTTACTGCCTGCACAACTTAAAGCAGGTAATTAGTGAAATGGTGTGAAATAAACAAGATTGACCTTTGCCATAAACGTATTCTCTCAAGTAAACAGGTGAATTTTGGCACATACATTTTTTAATGATGTATAAGTCTCCTGTTTCCATAATGTTGTTTTATGACACAATATTGAGCTTCAGTCAGCAGCATGTCAGCTGCTTTAGCCGGCTGTCCAGTCAGCATAACAGTCTGTAAAATATCCTCACATGGGCTTTCTGACTCCTTTAGGTTGACCTAAATGAGGAGGAGACCATCCTGATTATTCGGCGTTTGCACAAGGTGCTTCGCCCCTTCCTGCTGCGCAGACTGAAGAAAGAGGTGGAGTCTCAGCTGCCAGAGAAGGTGAGATTGAAACCGAACATTGTGTGCTTTCACTTGATGTAGCATGATTACATCTGCTACATGTTTCACAAGGCTGAAAACCTGGACTGTTGTCAGATTGAAATGACTGTATTGTAAGTCGGCATGGGCAGCTGAGAGCAGGGTGTACAGGATGCAGCTCATTTCACTGTCAATCACGGTCAAGTATGTTGATATTTATTTTGTAGGAATACTCTCGTTAAATGGCAGTTCTTGCCAACCTTGAAAGCTCCTTTCTTGCTGTGGAAAGCAATTAAAGCTGTCGACTTGTAACTGCAGAAATGACCAAAAGTAAGTGATGGTTGTTCACAGCACTGAGACCACTGTGTCAGAGCTGTGCAGTTAGCTGAAAATATTATGCACTGCTCACTTTGTGGCATTGGTGTAAAATGATTTAGCAAGGTAACATGAATGTCCTCAGCTTTGCTTCTACACTCTTAGAAACAGCTGTCTTATTTGTGGGCGACGCAGTGGGGTTAAAAAGTTATGTGTCATTCAACCATGGTGACACAGAGCCAGCTTCTATGCATAGTCTTTAAGATGCGAAAACTTTGTAAAGGAGACGACGTTTGTACCTAAACTGCAACTTTAGAGATTGTTTTCCTGTATTTATTTTGCAGCGCTGCATAATGTAACTTTATCTTCTTCCTCTCCTTCATGTCTCTTGGCTTTCTATTTCTCTTCTGACAAGTTTTCTTTCTCTTGGTGTCAAGACTGAGGCGGCACTGACACAGAAGCTCAAACAGCGTCAGCGTAGAAAAGACACCACTGTGCCACTGAGGCTTTGTTTTTATTGTCATTCACACAGGTGGAGTATGTCATAAAATGTGACATGTCTGCCATACAGAAGGTTCTGTACCGCCACATGCAGAAAGGCATCCTCCTCACTGACGGCTCGGAGAAAGACAAGAAGGTAAATATTACCGAGACCCCTGTGGCTCCACTGTCTGCCTGCGCTTTGTGTTCTCAGTGTGTCACGCTGACAAACACGGCTGTTTGGCAGAGACAGGTGATATTTTACAGTTGCCTGCAGGATGACATGAGAAGATCCTTGAATTTTGTTGTGTAATCAGAGTTACAGTTCCGCCATGAAATGAAAAACATGTTTTTCGCTTTGTGTTTGTTGTTTTGCTCTTCCTTGTGCCTTATAATAACCCATATGTGTTCTGTTGGATTTAAGTCAGAGCCACATAGATGTCCAGGTCATAGGTTTTAGTTTTTCTTCTTTGGAAAGCAGTGTGCTTTGAATTATTGTCATGCTGGAATATTCCTCTTCTGCCAAGCCTCTGCAGACTGGGACTCGTCTCGTCTGAAGGCATTCATGGCATCATCTATAAATGTCAACACCCTCTGCACTCACACAGCCTCACATCATCCACACCCCCACCTCCCTGCCTCACTGTCAGGACTATACATTCACTGTGGTATTCATGGCCATGTTCACTCCAGACATGAACAAATTTATATTGGTCTCATCTGAGCAAAGAATGTGCTCCCACCATACATCAGGCTTCTTCTCATGCACTTTAGTAAAGTTCCATCTCGCAGTTCTGTTCCAAAGAGGAAGCAAGGATTTTCTTTTTGGACGCCGTCCGTAGAGGCTGACGTAATGCGCTGTCTGGGCTGTCACAGAAACTCAGATTTTTACTGATAACTCCTGTGCTGAGTCTGAAGCGCTTTCCCATCTGTTTTTCAGAGCTAGATTGTCCAAGTAGCACACTGTTGAGGAGCACAATCACTGCAGCTCTGTTCAGTGGTACTGTGACTTGTTCTAAACCTCCTGATTACTGCTGCAACTGGGTTTTGACTCATGTTTAGTTGGTCACTGGCCTTGCAATATCCCTTTTTTTTTATCTTGGTGAAGTCTCACAGTCCCATAGATTAAAAACTAAGAAAGTTCTAGTGTTCATAGCTCATTTTATCACCATCTTTATGTGCTTTGGCTAATCCGGAATCACAGATGCTGTAAGTTTTGTTGCAGTGATCACACGTGTATTCACATTTGTTGCATTAAATTTCTACTTCGGGGCCTGTTTTTTCAGTGAAGTCTTTCAAAGGTGTTTGTTTTTGATGGTTCATAGAAGTATGTATGTTTTCAGAGGTGATACACTTTAAAATCATTTGACATTTAAGTGATATTGCACAGAGCTGTACTCACTTCTGTTGCATACTTCACACCATAGCTTTAAGCCTCAGTTTTGTCTGTTATTACAGCCATCTAGAAATACAGAAAACATGGCCTGAAATCTGTTCAGTTCACAGCAGTGATCAAACTGTTGTTGTGTCATTACATTACCCGCCAAGACTTTGTAATGAAACTAATTTATCTCACAGTTTTTTAGTGCTGCTGAATGTGCTCTAAGTGGATGTTTTCATAACGAGGATGTAAAAGCAGGGGGACAGTGTGAAAGAGGTGGCTCGTTGTGATTAACTCGCAGAGAATTATCACCTGAATGTGCAGCTGTGTCAGTGTGATAGAGGTCACATGTTGCGATTAACTTGGAGAATTATCACCTGAATCCGCCGCTCCCCTCGGCTTTGTGGAGCCTCATAATGAGTTTCAGCTACTTGTTTCGCTGTCCAACCCACGACTTTAATGTCGTTTAGCTTCATTCAGGCAGCAAAAAAAAGCTCTGAAACCCCAGAGTGTACAAACCACTTAGCATCCAAGAGGAACACAGTTACCAACTACCTGGTGAACACAGCATTGAGAAGCTTACAACAATATTTCTGTCAGGAGTTTTAGGAGATTATGAAGAGATACTGCCAGTGAGGATGCAAACACAACTCTGAATGAGATATAGTGCTGCTTCTTAGGCAAGTAGGTGTTTATTCACACATCCAGTTTGTCTTATCAGCTTAAAAAGATGATCGTTTGAAATTGTGTTGTACGGCTTGTTTCCACTGTTCTGAGTTGACCCAAACAAGCAAGTTTACACTCACATCAAGACAAGAGTCGTTGTTTTGATCTGGAATTCATCCTGTGTGTGTTTTCTTTTTCTGCAGGGCAAAGGAGGGGCGAAGACTCTGATGAACACCATCATGCAGCTGAAGAAGATCTGCAACCATCCGTACATGTTCCAGCACATTGAGGTGAGCGCTGCTGACAGAGCTACAAACACATGTGTGTTTTATAGAAGTTTATACTTGTGTTTCTTTGCCTTATTTACTGATTTAACAACTATTTACAGATTTATTCCCTTCACTGAAATGGACCCCTTTTTTGAAAGTTTGCCACACTTCCTGAAAAGTTTTTTTTCTTATTCTCAGACCTGAATTCTAACCCAACTCATTTCTGTTAATTTCATCCTCCACTGACATTTTGGATAAGCCCTGTTGTTGGGTTTTGTTCTTATATTAGATTAAAGCCCTCAAACGATCCCCTAAGTCATAAAACAGCTGGATGAAATTGGGATTTCCTGACATCAGGCTTCACATCTCCAGGTGTTGATTTTTAAAACAAGTCTGTTTGGGGAGAATGTTGAGAAGAAACCAAAAAGCTGTCTGCCTTCAGAAAAAGTCAAGTTTTTTAACATTTTTTTATTGATTTGATGATAGTTTGGGCTTATTCGATTATCTGCTTCTCCTCATTTAAACCGTCAAATGTTTTCTGATGCAGGAATCTTTTGCAGAGCACTTGGGCTTTCCAAACGGCATCATCAGCGGGTAAGTCACAGAAAAAAGATGCTTGTGTCTTTTTACAATCACACACCTCATTTTACTGAATTTTCATCACCCACACTGGACACAAAGGGAATTGGCAAGAATCCTGATACGGTGTCAGTCTGCTTTTGCCAATCAAGTACCACTACTGGAAAAAGAAGCTCGTATTTCCAGCGCTGCCTTGCATTGGAATCAATTTTAAGTATGTTTTTTTTTTTTTTCGGTTTTTATTAATGTGCAGTTCAATTCCCAGGAAGACATGCTTTGCATTATTTTGGCTTCTTTTTACTTTATTAACAAACATTATCTGTTTATACACCAGCCTCCACTTAAGGCCCACAAAAGCGATTACAGCTGTTGATATTATAATGGCCAAAGGGTTTTTTGTATTTTAAAAAACAGTCATTTAGCAAAACAAAAGGTTATTAGAATACAAAGACTAAGATGGTGCTCCCTGCATAAAAATGAAGAAAAGGAGTCTTACACTCTTCGACTAAATTCTATATATATGTATGTATTTAAAAAAACTAAACAAAAAAAAACCACTTGTATTGCAACATTACAGTAAGTTATAAGCATCAATTAAATGTTTAAATGCTGTTAATATGATAAACAGGGGAACCTAAAATGCAGTTTTACCAGTTTTACCAGTGATTTAGGCTCACAGTCCCCTATAGATGGTCAGATTTTCCAGAAATGCTTTCAGGTGATAACGGTGAACCCTGTATTTGTAGCACTTTATGACTGTGGTATAAGAAAGAGCTCATTTTTACAACACAGAGGAGGCCTTTCACCTGTATTTTCTGTTCTTTGAATTCCTCTGAGCATCCTGTCATAACAAAGTTGCTTGTAGAAAACAGACATCTTTAATCAGATCTTTTGACTTGAACAAAACAAATGGATTCACACCGAGCTGATGCCGTTTTCAACCCTGAGTGCAACGGAATTCACAAGGTCTGTCTCCGACTTTGCACAAAGCTCAGTGCAACAATGCAGTAATTTAACACCTAATGCAGGAAAATGTAATCTCCACCTGCAAGTGTCAGATAATTGCTACGTCCCTGCTGTACTTGGCAGCAGGCAGCAATTATTCATAGGAGCAGTTCAACCTAAACCAGATGTGTGAAAAATTCATGCGATAGTCCTTTCACACTTCATATTTCTGTTGTCACTTGACATATACTTGAGGTTTGAAGTCGTTGATGTTTACGTCTCCGGTCTCTCTGCCACATATAGCTATATATCGCAAAATAAGTAGCTGCGCTTCAGCAACCAGATGTGTTGACAGGAACAGAGCGTCTCAGTTCCCAGAATTATTCCAAACGACGTGCAGCGGATTGAAACAAGAGGCTTACCTTGATTATGGTAATACAATAGAGCATCTTGCACCTCCACCACTCAGGGAGTAAAATAGTTTGTATTTCAGCTCTCCATCTAATGCCGCTTAAAGCTGGAGGATTTCTTTGTTCCTGTATGCTGGTTACAGTCCTCACAGAAGTGTATAATCCTGTATTGTTTTGCTCCTGTGTTTCAAGCTCAGGCTTTCACTCTGCGCTACCACATTCACTCTTATGTCAAACCTGTAAATCCATGGAGTTTGTTTGGATTGTTCTTGTAGGTTTATTAGTGAATAGCAGGCCTGTGATGTGAATAATAACATTTTGTAAAGTAAACAATATTTTATGTCCTAATTAAAACCATTACTGTATCAGTGTTTATCTGAATAACTTCAAATGAGTTTTAGAGTTACAGGCGTCACATTTGACGGTGATTGCTTTAAACATTAACAACGTTGACACAGAGGTTGTTAATGCCGAAGCCACAATGACAGACTAAAAGAGTTCATTAAAATAATGTGCTGTCTTCTCTCAGTCGTCACATTACCTCAGGATATCGTGAACCTTTCCGAGTTTTTATTAACAATATACATTTCCTCCTGCTTGTAATTATGAGATTTGCTTTAGGTAATAATATTTCCATGTTGAGAAGGTGCCAGGAGACGCAGGCCAGATTGAAAAGTGTATTTTTGCTCACCATCAGTAATTCATAGCCCCAATAGCTTTTCATTATATTTTTCCAGGAAGTGGAGAACAGAATTTTACAGAAACTGTATAATGAGGTGACAGAGCATTTCTGTCGCTGCATAAGTTAAAACGGTGTCAGGGTATTTTTAGCCAACTTACACTATTAACAGCTGCCAAACTAGAAGCCACAGAAGCTTTAATAATCATCCATGTTAATAATAATTTATGATAGATTTTTTTGTCCTTATTTCCACTCAGGCCTGATCTGTATCGAGCATCTGGGAAGTTTGAGCTCCTCGATCGCATCCTGCCGAAGCTCCAGGCCACCAGCCACAGAGTCCTGCTCTTCTGCCAGATGACCACTCTCATGACCATCATGGAGGATTACTTCAGCTATCGCAACTTTCTATATTTACGTCTTGACGGTAAGCTCACACACATGCACACAAATCTGTGCATAAGAGGCACCGCTTTACATTATTGGGCGCTTGATGCTGTTAAACAAGAATCAACACAGGATTCAACCAGCTACAGTTGCTCAAACATTGTCTGCATCTGATTGGATGACGTTTCACTCTGAGGCTGGATTTTAAACAGGATCCGATACGGCAGCTCGTTTGTTAACGTTCTCTTTTATTACAGTTTGGCAAAAGCGTTTCTGGAAGAACAAAAAAAGCCATGCAGTAGCTGAATCTGTCATTTTAGACTGACGACATTAAGTTTTAAAGCTTAATAAAAGTTTCACGAGGTGTTAGACGCCCGCTCTACACTGCTCATTTGCATAAAGTAGCCTAGAACATAACTTTATGCAAATGGGAAGCAGGTAACGCGATGCCCCGTCTTTAGAAACACGACGCAACACTACCAGAATGCATTTTAGGGTGTTCTACATTGACAATGAATGGGAAGTGACAGATCTGTATGATTCGCTGAGCTTCAGGATTGGTATTAAATCAGATGTGAAAATGTTTTATTGCAGCGAGAAGAAGGCAAATTAGATTTGTTCTTTACTGTACTCCACTCAGTTTTGTCCACTTTATCCTGCAAGTGTTGCAGCACTGCTATCTTTAAGGGACCTGTATTCTCTTTATTTATGCAAGAAAAAGGTCTGCAGAGTTACAAAGCCCAAAGTCCATGTGAAAAGAAAGGATTCTCTCCCACACAGTCCACTGCTCCTTGCCTGCCTGAAACACCTTGTGTGAAGTTTAAGCTTTCCCTCCGTTACATATGCAAATGTATAACATGGTGACGTAGATAACGCCTGCTCAGCGCGGTGGGCGCTGAAATGACTGCATGATGCCATCTGCTAAAGCCCCTTCTGCAAGAGCTGCTTCTGCTAGAGCCGCTTCTGCTGGAGCTGCTTTTGCTGGAGCTACATCCCTCTACTCAGAGATCTGGAGTTATGATACGTAGCCAACATTGTCTGGCTTTTGTCAGCCTGGAAGACCAGTCGGAGCAGACTTGGTCTTTTGGGAGGGAAGCTAAAAAAAAATGGATTGAGAGAAGAGGTGGTGCAGCAATGTAAAGAAAATGTACAAATGTGCTTTTTTAACATTAACTCATACAAAGATATTCTAGTACACTCTAACTGTAAACATGTAAATTGCATAATATAGGCTCTCTAATGACAGCTTGGGTCTGTAGTGCAGGAATTTCATTGCATATATCAGTGAAAAAGGGATTGTTGATTCCACGAGTAACCATATTTTAACTTGATTTTGTTTGGTTAAAGTGGAAAAGCTGTCAAGTTGTTAGAGATCAACATCACTGTATTTAGTGTTACTATAGTTAAAAAAAAAAAAAAAGGTCCTGCAAAGTGATGTGGTTCGTTCTTGAGCTGACTACATCCCAGCTACGCTTTATTTCGTGTCATATCGACAATTTGACAAGGATTTGAGTCTCTCGTGCAAAATAAGGCAGATTTACAACCATCTACAACTGTGATTTCAGTATTTTAGGTGCATATTTGACAAAAAAAGTTTGGTAAAAAGTATCAGACTGGGCTCCTCATTGGTAGCTATCCATTCTTGAAGGGGCCAGATCCTATTTTCTAACTCAAAATGATCATCTGAACTAACACAACTCCACATTCTTGATCCATTGCGGTGCAGGTCAGAATACCTTCATATAAGTGTGAAAGGAAGATGGAAAATGTGAAGCTGCCTATGAAAGCAGATGTGGGATAACATCTGTCCATGTGGTGTGTAAATCCCAAAGCGTGGCTACTGTAATGCATCAACACATGTAGTTAATACTATTTAATGCACCTTTCTCCCCCCATCAGTCGCTGCATCAGGATGGATCTTAATCTTAAATTAAATCTGATTTTAATGTCTTGTAATCCTTTAATTGTTTATTTTTTCTGGTGTGTTACAAAGATCTATTTTTCATTCAAATTGACTCATACAATAATGGGGTGCCAGAAGAATCCCCATCACATCCATTCATCATAATATCCACACTCTCAAATAAAAGTCAACCCTACTAGCCGCTGGGTCGGGCAGCAGAGACCCAAGTTCACTGAAGAGATGTCATTGATTAATTTTTGGACTTTTCTAGAAACTTAATAAACGTACAGCGTGATAGAAAGTTTGTTTGTCACCCCAGTTTCCCTTGACTGCTGTGCGTGAGCGACAGTGTTTTTCTCAGCGGTGGAAACAGGAAACAGTACGCAGCAAATGCCACAAACAAACAAAAAGACCTTCAAAGTGTGGCAAATTTTTTGAAAAATAAAGTCTGGTACCTTTGTATCCCTCAGTTTGAAGAACATCGCTCTGGTACCAAAGACAAAGCAAATTAAACACGGCTCGTCCTGCCTCACATCACCTTCTCAGCTTATTGTGTTGTGCTTTTATTTTTTGAAGAATTTTCAGAGCAGCTTTTAAAAGTGAAAGCAACAGAGCCGCTGTTGTTATTCTACCTTGAGGTGAAAATATTCAGTTAGTATATTCACTTTTTTTTTTTTTTTGGTCATGAAGCCAAAGAAATAAACTCAAAGAATCAGAGAATCTTTTGGACAACACCTGAGAAAAACAAACTATGTTAAGAGACTTCTGCTGCTTTCTCAAAAACACAGCTGTGGACTGTGGGCTTTGCTTAATTAGGGCCACCTCTTGCCCTTCCGGGATGCCTCTGAAACAGTTAATTGGTCAGAGATGTGACATTTCTACTTTTTTGAAAACAAAAGAACAAGAAGTAGTTCATTCAGACTCTGTAATTGACAGACTCTACTTTACAAAATGATGTTTTTCCACATAATTAATGGAAAAGGGTCAAAACCATTTAAAAAATTGCAATCATTTCTTGAAGAGTTACTAGTTGCATATGTAAAAAATGTTCCATCACAGTTACATGCCTCTCAGATAATGGCAAAGTGGAGCCCAACTCACTCAAATAAGTAAAAATGTAGATGGAACATTTGTAACCAGACTCGACTTTTCTGGTCACATCCAAAGTTAAGAAATGACTGCAGTTCAGAAGTAGTCTGTTTAGGCTTTGAGGGATTTTATTGAGATCCTGTTAGGGGCTGCCAGATGTATTAGAGTTAGGTGGCTGAAACCTAATCCTCCATCGTACAACGTCTGGATCCCAAAAGTATGAGACGGAGCAAACTGCTTTTGCATGAAGACTCCAAAAGCCCAAATATACAGAGTTGGAGCTGTGTGAAGGCCACATGCCATCTGCTCATACACTCTCAGTTTCCGTTATTTGCTTCTTGTGTTTTGATTTGTGACACGTGTTTTTAACGTGTCTGAACCTGGACTGGATGAATTATAACCAACTTGTCGAATTGTTAAATTGCTTTCAAAATGTGCTGTGTTCTAAGAGATGCTGAAGTTCGAATATTCAAGTTGAAAACAATAAATATATGTTTCAGGGACCACCAAGTCTGAGGACCGAGCGCTTCTGCTGAAGAAATTCAACGAGGAAGGATCTCAGTACTTCATCTTCCTCCTCAGCACCAGAGCCGGTGGTCTCGGTCTCAACCTGCAGGCTGCCGACACTGTCGTCATCTTTGACAGTGACTGGAACCCACACCAGGTACATGCATCGCTAGATTTTCTCATTTCAGCCTGCACGGGGTGTGTCAGAAAAGTTCAAGGACTGGTGTCACAAAAGATGTGTTTCAAACCCAAACTACAAACTACCAGTTTTCCCCTTCAGACGATCAACCAGCACGTCTACAAAGAGATCCTGCTGCATTTGCTTCATTCAGTGCGTGAGAAGAGGCCAGAGTTGTGACAGGACAAGTCGTGGATGCTTCACCATGACAACCTGCTCACAATGCCCTGAGCATCTGACAGTTCCTGGCTGAGAAGACCATCTCTGTGCTGGAGCAACCTCCGTACTCACCCCACCTGGCTCCGTGGGATTTTTTCCTCTTCCCCAAGCTCAAGGGGGTCATCAAGAGGACCCGTTATGAAGACGTGGACGACATCAAGATGGCTGTGACGACGGAGCTGCAGAGGATCCTGGAAGAAGCCCTCCAGGAGTGCATGGCGGCGTGGCAGAGAAGGCTGGGAAAGTGTGTTAAACTCCAGGGGAATTACTTGGAAGTGGAAAACTTGTAGTTTGGATTTGAAATCTATCTTTTGTGACACGAGTCCTGGAACTTTTGGGCCACACCTTGTATGTTGTTTGTGGTGTTGACAGTTCCTCTGACTCATGTTTTCACTTAAATACCTCCAACGCATTGTGTGTTGACGGTTCCATCAGGAAAAATTTGTGCTATTTTATCAAAATCCCTTCATTTAGCGTGTCTCAATCAGAAATCCACCGAAAACAAACTGTTTGCAAAAGGCTCTGAAACAAACAACTCAGTCTGTGCTCCTCAGTGCACCTAATGGCCGTGATTCACCGAGCTGTGAATGAGAGTGACGTGACTAAAATTATGAGATTTTTTGGGGGGAGAATTGCAGGTGGTGTTTACACAGAGTAGACAGACGGTGAGAAAGAGAGATTGGGTGGAAAATACAACATGCTTGATCAATGAAATAAATACAGCATGCAGCTTGCTCTTCTAAAGTTAGCAAAACTTTTGTATACAGAGGAGCGAGTTGTTAGAAGACACTTTTAGCATGATGAAACATCTTTCTAGAATTGATGTGCAGAGTTTGTAGAGGTCGTAAAACTGTAAACAGGCCAAATACCCTATGTGTTGCATGTAGAGCCCTATTTTTCCTTTTTTTTTTTTTTTTTCAATGTTTGTAACACATGTGCACATTCTCAGTTTTTCCAAAACAAAAATCTAAGAAATCTAACTTTAGTTTTTGTCTATTTCGTATTATAACTGCAAAGAATACATTTTAAAGCTCAGGACCTTATGTTGCAGTGAAAAAATGAGCCCACAGTGAGGAAAAATGTGACAGGAGCAAAAACAACAGCCAGAAATTGCTTCGAGTTCACAGGGGTTATCAACAAAATGAAACTCTAGATGCAGATATGAAGATATTTTCTGCCCTTTCATCCCTTTCTGGCTAGTAAATAGTGTGTAAATTGTGTTTGTTCTTAGTATCTAAGTGAATGCATTCGGGTTTTGGCGATGGTAAGATGGAAGGAGCACTCCTGAAGATTGCATGTTTCCTCTCATGCAGTATGTATTTTAAGACGTTGCTGTTCAGAGGGACAGAATGTCAGAGAGGAAGCAGATAGTTCATACAAATATTCACTGCTTCTGATTTGTCACAGCAGGTTGACGAAACTGCGTGAAAATAAAGGCTTAAAGTTGCTTGGCCTCCTAAAGCAAATCCAAACAAAGGTTGAAGAAGCCACTGGCAAATAAATGGACTGCTTATATACAGTTTGTTTCTCTCAACAGAAATATATTAGTTAAACATATTTTCCCATACTTTCATAAGCAATTCATCTTTTTGTTTATCCCACAACATGAAACAATTTAAAGTTCCTTTCTTTGGCAGCACAACAACATGCTCGCAGTTCCAAAACGCTTGTGGTCCAGCATTATGTAAATGAGATAAACTGTGATTTGGCTCATTTACGTCTTATTAATACCCCGCTAACTTCACAAATTGCAGTGATTCAGCATTTTGGGTGTCTGACAGTAATGTGTGGCAGGATTAGTAAATATTGTCCTCAACTTTGACTTGAGTTTTGTTCATACATTTTTGCAATAACACTGAGTTATGAAGCAGCTAACACCTGGAATCCAATTAATGATATTGCTAATAATGATAATAATAATAACGTTATTTTTATGGGAGTGCTTTGACAGACAAAACCAAAGCAGGATTCCCAGAAAGCACAATAATAGCAGGAAACCAGACATAAATGACAAAAAAAGGCAAAACCTAGATAAATGTCAAACAAGAAGAAAAAAAAATATGTAAAAGTACAAAACAAAATATGTCAATTTTAATAAATACAAAAATAAAAACCTTGAAAAACAATAAAAAGATGACATCACTCAAAAGCCAGTCTATAAAAGTTGTTTTTGAAGAAGTGACTTTTAAAGAAGTCACTGATCCTGTAGCCTTATCTCTTCAGGCAGGTCATTCCAAAGATGATCGGATCCTGATGACAAAAATATGATCACCTTCAGATTTAAGGTTCAGCAGCCAGAAGGCCTTCACCAGATGATCAAAGACTGCCAGCTGGCTCATATGTGGTCAACATTCCTGCTGTGTAGCTTGGGGCCAGGTGACCCAGAAGACCACGTGATCAGTAGCATCTTCTAATCGATTATAAAAATGGACAGGGAGCTGATGGAGAGAAGCCAGGATTGATGTTGATGTTGAAACCAGTAAGAAGCTGAACTGCTGCATTTTGAGGCAGCTGGAGTTGCCGTGAATAATTTAACCTATTAACAATATACTAACTGATAAGGCAGAAGACGAACACCTTTGCACTTGACAGACTAAAAAAACAAATGAATAACTACATAATTTCTATTACCTCCCACACAGACTGCAATTGGCATCAACGCCCTATCACACTTGAACTCGTTCTATTGCACTTATCCAGATTGTTTTCTCCTGACTAGGTACTTGCTTTGTGTTTGTGTATCTACTCTCAGATGCATGTTGCTTTGGATAAAAGCGTCTGTTAAATGCAATTGTAGAGTTGTAGAAGGACATTCATTCAATAAAGTGATAGCAGATTAGCCGCAGTACCTGGTTGCGCCACCAGATGGAGCCTCTTACTTTTTAACACTGCGATGACCCTGAGGAGCAGGTCACTTTCTAGAAGCAGTTCATATTGGCAATCAGGGAAAATTTGGGGAGTTTAGCTAGAAAGCACCATCATGACATAGTCTTCTGTGACACTTAATGCCAAAGTTTAGCTCTTAATCAAGTAGTTTTACCATAATATTTGATCAACAGGCTTCACATGAGCAGACAAGGGACCAAGTTCACTGTCCTCTGATTCTGAGTTATTGAGTTTTGCGAGTCAACAGTTTGTGTACATTTGTGGCAAAGCTGATAGTTCAGTCATCGTATCAGGAGCAACTGGCTCGCCAGTATGTGTCTGTGCCGACCCTGATTTGTAGTCTTTCCTCAACAGTTTGCTGTTAAGTCAAATTAGCTTGTCGAAGTGGCAGCAGTCAGTCTGACTGTTCAGTCTACAGAATCAGAGTTATTCACCAGTTTTCGTTACTCAGCAACAATGAAATTTAAAGGAAAGTGAAGTAAAACTTGGTCGCAGTCAAGGCTTTATTGGCTGCTTTCAGTTCAGTACGGTGGAGACGTTGTCGGTCAGATGAGCTATGCTTAACAAAAGGAGCTCGCCAAAGAATAGTGTGAGAGCTTCAGTTTATTCATGAGAAGGTTCGTAGCCAAAGGAAGTATGACTGGACAAATGTTTGATCTGTTTTTGAAAGCTTTGATCTGGATCAATCAGTATTCCAGCGTTTCTGGCAACAGGCTTCACATTAGCAGACAAAGAACCGAGGTCACTCTTAGTGAGCCTGACAGGGGCTTTAAGGGGGTGAAAAGTAGAGTTCCTGGCAGCTGGCTGTTGAGTCAAATTAACATTTCCAAGTGGCAGCTGTCAGTCTGGCTGTTAAGTCTCCCGAATCAGTTTTTTTTTTTTCCTCTGTAGTTCTAGTCACACTTTCGGATTCCACGAAAAATTAAAAAAAAACTCCAACCATACACTGCAAAGTGAAAGTTACAGCTATCTTGGCAACTTGTTGGCTTTAATTTCACTTCCTTCCAGTGGAAGCTTTGGTGGCCAGATGAGCTGAGTTTAACAGAAATCCCTGCTCACACAGTAGTGTCACCTTCAGACGTGCGCGATTGTTCTTTCCTGTCATTTTTCCATCATCGGGTGTTCATTTTGGGCCTCGTTATGGGTGAATGAATACTTTGACGCTGATCCAACTGAAACATTCTCCCTCCATCTACATGTTCCAGGACCTTCAGGCTCAGGACCGAGCTCACCGCATCGGCCAGCAGAACGAGGTTCGTGTGCTCCGCCTCTGCACCGTCAACAGCGTGGAGGAGAAAATCTTAGCAGCTGCCAAATACAAACTGAACGTGGACCAGAAGGTCATCCAGGCCGGCATGTTTGACCAGAAGTCCTCGAGCCACGAGCGCCGCGCCTTCCTCCAGGCCATCTTAGAGCACGAGGAGCAGAATGAGGTGAGATCTGAGTTTTAAAGTTTGATTTTGTATGTTGTATTATTCATCTTGGGAGTAGAAGGAGCAGGGCAAGGTATTTGTTCCTGACCAGGCATCTTTATTTAATGAATGTAGGAGGTCCTGAATGAATGTTTTTCCCTCCAGTTAAATGATGCATGCTGGTTTTGATTGAATTACTGAAGACCCAGAGACGCCTCCCTCGATACGATCAGCGAATCATTTGACTTTGACTCATAATATCAGATGGTTTTGTAATACAATCCCAGCTGTTTGTTTGGTGCTTGATAAAATCTGAACGCCATACTTGACTGATTTGTTTTGAAGTGAACATGAAAGGTTTCTGCTTTGATCCAACAGTTTGAAACAGAGAATGGAAAACATCAACTGATCAAACTGCTGGATTTCTCCTTTGTAATTTTAGGAGGAAGACGAGGTACCGGATGATGAAACCCTGAACCAGATGATCGCCCGCAATGAAGATGAATTTGAGCTCTTCATGGTAAGTAAAAGTACATTTAAATGTCATAGTAAAACTGCTGGAATGACAGGTCTTGAAATAATAATTTCCCCGAAGAGGAGTAGCTGACGGCTGATTCTCTCACATCTAATCCAAAATAATTGTATGTTGCGCATCATGTCAAGACAATTTTTCTGGTTAAATATCATCATTTCTTCAAGCACCGTTGAATTTGGCAATAACTGTCTCCTGTCAGATGCTTCTTTTGCGTATTAAGTAATGGGAATGCCGTGGATAAAGGATTCATACATCCCGACTCTTGTGTAACACTTTAAACCCCATCTGAGCGCCGCCGCTTCCATTTTACAAGTGCTCTTTAAATTACTTTAACTCTGTTACCGTTTGTGCTGGAAATTCAAACGGTGTCTGAAAGAAAAGAAGACACGCTTTAAGAGGACATTTGAAATATTGCGGTAGCACAAGACACTCACAAGTTACTGCTGTCTGAACACAGACCAAAGAAAATGTTCCACCTAATATCTTACCATGTGGGCTTCATGTTACTGTCACTCCTCAACCGTTTGGATTAAAAGGACAAAGCAATCACTCAGTATGATTTATGACTCTTTTACAGCCAAAATAATTTTTAAAAAAAAAAGTCCAGGTGGCCCGCATGGATGTTAAAAAGTTCAAACTTCCAGTACAGTTGTTGTGTTAAATGCATCACTACACAACCTCAAGCTTTCCTCCTGGTGGTGTTTCCTCATCTTCTTCAGGCTCATATTGGCTATCTCTCTGGGTGCAAGATATCAAATATTAGCAAGCATTCGGAAGCCATAGGATGTGTTCAGAGGTTACAATATAAATTAAAGCCGCAAGCGGCGATGGACGGGTCCTCGC